AAGAATACTTACAACTGGAAAACTGGATTATGTATCAGCAATTTCCACCATAGGAAACTTTATATATTTTATAGTTAACAGTTTTTTTTTTTTTTAATGGGTATTGGGGAGGGAACCCAAGGGTTTTTTACCATTTTTATAGGGCCACACTAGTTTGCGTAGGCTGGCTTTGAACTTGTAATCCTCTTGCGTCAGACTTMCCAGCCACTGGGGTTATAGGCATTCACCACTACACCTGGTTGGTTTATAGTATCTTTTGATGTTAGCAAATAAAATAACAACCCATATTTTCTTATATGAAACAGATTGACTACAGCTGTTGATCTACCTCCTGAGTTTATTCACCTTTATATATCAAATTGCATCTCTACTTGTGAACAAATTAAGGATAAATATATGCAGGTGAGTAATGGGAATTTTTATAAATTCTATAAATAGGTGCTAAGAGGATGGGCACACTAAAACTTTTTCCTTTTTCTTCCAGAATCGTTTGGTGCGTCTTGTGTGTGTGTTTCTTCAGTCCTTGATCCGTAAYAAAATTATTAATGTGCAGGACTTATTTATAGAAGTGCAGGCCTTCTGTATTGAATTCAGTAGGATACGAGAAGCCGCAGGCTTATTCCGGTTGTTGAAGACACTGGATACTGGAGAAACGCCTTCAGAGACCAAAATGTCAAAATAATACCTCACCAGAACTACCCAATTTGTTGTTCAACTGTATTGATTAGTTTTTAAAACTTAAAACAGTGGATTGCTTGGTCTTATACATATAAACAACACTTTAATCTACTTTAAAGCAAAAGTTTTGCTTTTCCTGGATGACTTTTTCCTATAGATGAATTTTTGGTAAGAACTTGGACACAAAATGTTCTAAGTGTCTTGCTGATGACTCCATAGGAGGAATAATTATCCCAAATTACTGCAAAAAAAGTAGAGGAGGTGTGTATTTTTTAAAAGAAATTTTAGCATTACAGAGCAAAGTGCTTGTTTTTGCTTCAAAGGCAAGCTACAGGCTTCTGATAAATGAGGAACCCAGTTTTCCTAAGGTTCCAGTGTTGAAAGTATCCAATGAGAGCAAAGACATTTTGAAGAAATTGTGATACTGTCATATGGTGAAGAGCAGTTGATTGTATCTCAACTTCTCATTAAGCAGTATGAAACAAGGACATGCATATAACTTTGTCATGGGAACTCCAGAGGTAGCAGAACAAATGTTTGGAGGGCCTCTTAAAAACACGGGAACTCTTAGGACAACGTTATAGTAGGTGATATTGTTTCCTAGTTTTTTTTTTTCTTTGTTGAGATGTCCTCTGTTATTACCCTAAAATGCATTTTTTTTTGTTTTGTTTTGTATTGTTTTAAAGGAAAAACAGGGCTTTGGGAGGGAGTGTCACCCCTAGGAACTGCTGTCTGTGGCAGGGTAGATGTGTGAGATGTACCAGAGCAGGCAGTGCATGTGTCACCCCTCATGTCACTTTGGACAACGGTGCCTTCCAGTAAAGTTCTTTTTTTACCAACTGTCATCTGATGCATTTTTACTTCAAGAAATCATGACAAATTCCTTTTACTGAACTACTTCTAAAGCATATTTACAGGGAAATCTGTTCAATAGGAGTTATCCTCTAATCCAACACTTGGCAAGTCCATGCCTCAGATCCATACTATTAAATGGGTAGACTCACAAACAACATGAAAAAAGTGAGGAAACAAATTAACCCAAACAAACCAAGATACTCCAATAACAGAATCTATTGACGCCACAGTGGAAGAAATGTCAGAGGAGTTTAGAATGTATATAGTTAAACTGCTCTGCGAGAAAAGGGACAAAAAAAAGTAAGGAGTGAAATCAGGGAGAAAATACAGGAAGTGAAAGATCATTTCAATAAAGAGAGATTTTGAAAAAAAAATCAAGCAGAATCCTTGAAATGAAGGAATTAAAAACCAAATTAAAAATTCAATGGAAAGCATCACCAACAAACTAGACCACATGGAAGACAGTTTTAGGCAATGAAGACAAAATAGATAATCTTGAAATTAAAGTAGAACATGGAGAAAAGATGTTAAAGACGCTATAAACAGAACTTCCAAGAAATATGAACCTGAACTTCAGTCCAAATTTAAGATTTGTTGGGATGAAGGAAATGAAAGGAAGCACAATCTTTTCAATGAAATAATACCAGAAAAACTCCCAAACATAGTTTGGGAAATGGAAAAATCAAACACAGGAGGCTTACAAGGACCCCAAATATAAAAAACTACAACAGACAGACCCACACTAAGGCACATTATTATGAAAATGTCTAACATACAGAATAAGAATAAAATTTTAAAGGCTGCCAGAGACAAACAACAGGTCACCTTAAGAGAGAAACCAATCTGAATCTCAGCTGATTTCTCAACCCAGACCCTCAAAGATAGGTGGTCTTGGAACACACACACACACACCAAGCTCTGAAAGAGAATAGATACCAGCCAAGAATACTATACCCAGTAAAATTAAGCTTCAGAATTGACAATGATATAAAAACCTTCCATAATAATAATWATAGAAAGTTAAAAACATTCACAACTCTGCAGAGCCTGCACCACAAACATATGTATGGCATTTCATGAAGAAATGACAAAAKTGAAAACCAGCAGAGGGAGGAATAACACTAGAATAGCCAATCATAGGAGAAACTATTTCAAGTTAAAAACCAGAAATAAAATGACAGGGAATAAAAATCACTTCTCAATAATAACACTGAATGTACTTGGCCTAAACTCATATGAATCAAGATAGACTGGCAAATTGGATTAAAAAACAASATACAACAATAAACTGTCTCCAGAAGTATGTTAGTTTCCAAATATCTAGAAGTATTTCAGATCTTTCTGGTGTTGATTTTTAATTTAATTATTATAGTTAAAGAATATGTTATGAATAACTTGAATTGTTTTATGTTTTCATTTTCATTCATTTCAAATTATTTTCTAATTTTCTTGTAATTTCTGATTTCATCATGGTAAGAGAATGAGCTTTGTAACATTTGAACCAAGTTTTATACTTCTTCATACAATATCTGAATTTTTAGGACATTTTAACATCACTTTCTCTTACTTTGAGCTGTAAAGATTTTTATATTCTGAATCCTGTATTTTACTATTCATAAATCCATATATTTTATCTGTATCACTTGATCACTTTTAAGTCATTTTTCTATTTGATGCAACAAGTACCAAAGAAATTTGGTTTTGTTATTTTTTAATATGGAATTCCAATTATTTCAGCACCATTTGTTGGAAACACTATCCCTTACCATTGAATTACCTTGGCACCTTTGCTCAGCTCATGTATGTGTAGGTCAATTTTTGAATTCTGTATTCTGTGCCATTTTTTCTACATGTCCATTTTTATGGCAACATCACATTATCTTCATTAATGTCAGTTTATTGTAAAATTTTAACTCAGGAAACATGAGTCCTTCAGTTCTATTCCTTTTAACTTACATTGGTTATTCAGGTGCTCTGCATTTCCATATGAATTTTGTAATTTGCTTGCCAAATTTCTCAAAAAGTAAAATGATTTAAAAAACAACATCAATTTCTCTCAAGGCCTAAAAGTGGGCATCACAGTTCTGCAGATTAGGTCCAACTATTCTTGGATAAAGAACAGTTCATTATTGAAACAGCACTTTGGAATTGCAATTTCAATGACTGATAGCTATTGTTAGAAACAACCCAACTTAGATTCCTTGCAACTTCTGATTCCAGCAAAATTTAGCACTGAACTTGAAAAGTCAACAATACAGCACTGTAATTCATGCCTGAATAAAGTTTATCTAACATATTTTATCCTAAAAGCATATTATAGTCTTGCTCTTCATCATGCTTGGGGACAAACAGTGAAGTTGGAAACGAAAGTACAAAAAAATTTGGTACTAAAGAGACCATGGAAAACACCTGCTTGTACTATGACAGCTGAAACAGGCAGATTGTTCTCTCACTCAAACTTGTGTATCAGGCAACTCAAAATTTCAACCCAAGCATGACTAAAAATGACTCCTGAAAACGGTATGTGATGATTTGCRGGTTACAAATGAATTTTAGTGAGTAGGCAAGTTTTTTTTTTATTATTATTAGCAAATTTTTAATAGATAACTAATTTACATATGCTTATTCACTTTATTTATATTAACATTTCTGAATAAAAAACTCTGATTTTGTTATATATTAAGGGCCAGCCCTTCAAATTTGCATGGTGACTATAAGGGAAATTCAGTTCAAATCATCAAGAGTAAAAATAAAAGTAAACCAACTCAGGGCTTTTGTGTATGAAAACCTGGAACGTTTTTTTTTTTTTT